AAAATTTAATAAGCATATTACATGTAAAATTAACTACTAAGCGGAATTGTTTTGAATTGTCTAGTAATGTGTACTAAACTTTCGCTCTTTCTGCAACTTACCGATGAAGATGCAGATTTTTAATGGAACACTTTATCTTGGCTAAACCTAAATTGGTAGTGGTTTATGAAGAGCTGTGTCTATTTAAATTGCTCATACTCTGTTCTTTCCATGTTTTTGCGGAATGAGCAATGTGTTTCCCTTTTTCCACTTTGTGTGAAGTATGAGGGTAGAAAATACCCATAATTCTATACTTTGCAGAAATATAGAATGCATCCGTCAGCTTGGAATACCCTCAAATTAAATTCTTTGTCTTCATTTGGTTTTCATTCTGGGCAATCTATAAACAAGTGTATTTAAACATAATACTTTTTTAAAAAAGCAAAACATATGAGCCCAGATGAAAATTTAGTTAACAGAAGTGCAAATGAAAGGCTTAGTTTTATTACTTATCTCTTAATCTCACTTTTGCAAAGTCAGTCAATTGCCCCTTGGGCCTTTCTATGCAAAGAAAACTATATTTATGGGTCCTATTAAAAAAAAAAGCTAGTAATGCTAGTTGGTCCAATTCAGTCTTTGAAATGTATTCAGGATGATGTGGTCCATATCTAAATGGCTGAGGTTACCGTAGTTATTTGCTGAAGCTTACTTGAAATTGTGGATCAGCCTGGCTATTCTGACCCAGAAACATGGACACTGTTGGAGAGTTAGTACAAATCTTTAATCCAGAAATTTTTCTTTTTTCATTGAATCAGCATTAAAAATGTTGGCATAGTTTACATAAATATTCACAGTAATGTCTTCTATTGAAACTTAAGTCACTATTGTGTGTATGAATTTTTATGCACACGCACACACAGACACACACACACACACACACATAAGTAGGAACAAATATCTGGAAATAGCCATCCATTATCACTTTTGATGAAGACCAAGAAGCTTGCTTTGTTTCTTTTCTTTTGCTCCACATTTCTCTAAAGAAAATAAGGAATAGAATAGTAGTGCCATAGGTTTCCAAAAAATATGACAAAGTGTATTTGTGGCTGAAAGTAGAAATATTGACAAGGATTTACTAGGTTCTAGCAGACAACATTGTGTAAATTAAAAGCTTAGAGAGACAGTAATTTTGCTTATATAATGTAATATTTTAGCCCTGATAATTACTGATTCTGAGTACCATCCTTTAGCAATTCGTAACCCTGGAGTTGGACTTGAGGTGCTGTACAAATGGAACCTTCTTCATAAGGCCTCCAGAACTCTTTCTGAAAATGCCAAGTCCACCTGGCATTCCTATTCTCAGATATCATTATTCCTTTT